AGTGAGAGTAAGAAGGAAGACTTCAGGAGAATTTTACTTTTCAACTGAAACTCCTCTATACTCCTTATACTTTTCTACCGTGTGTAGCTACTATGTTTATAATACACAAATATTTAAATAAAACCTAGAAGAAAGTGACTTGAACTCTCCTTCACTTGGTATGTCTCTGCTCTTGAAAACCAGATAAGAATAAAACAAAAATCAGCATTTGTATTAGCATAGTAATACATCAGCATTGATATATTTAGGCTTTCCACCAATATTCACCAAGTGACTCCTGCGTGCCACAAGCTGGGTGAAGTGTTGGGCAGTGGCAACAAAACAGGACAGACCCAAAGAGCCACATAACACCACTGGGTCCTCCTTACCTCTTCTAAACAACTCTGCACAAGGCTCACAAGAATGAGAGAATATATGGTGAACACTGCAAAAATGCAAACAGAAAAAGGCCAATCAGGTAATAGTTTACCATTGATACCAAACTGTAACTTGACCTAAAATTAGAAAACTAAATGACTATGCTCAGCAATCCTATAACTCTGCGCAACTGAATAAGCATTCTGATAATTCAGATATCTCATTCAATCCTTCTAACACTGAAAAGTAGATTCAGTCCCTCTGCTCATTTGAAACCTTAAAAAAAAAAAAAAGAGGTTCTGAGTGTGATTGACTTCGCTATGGTCACCAAATGAGAGAAGTAGAGCCTCTACTTGGTCCTCGCATATATAATAATATATATTATTTCTTATATATTATATAATATATAAAATAATTAATACATAGATTATTCTATTTATTATTCTAAGAAATACACATATAGATATCTATTTCTTACACTATACCAACTGTCTCTGTAAGTAAATCTGAGCCTAATAATTTTTTTTCAAGTTCAATCTGCATTCGAATATCAACTGTAACTGAGGAAAACCTAAATGCTTTATACATGCTATCACATATTTCAGCAAAACTTAAACATAATCTTTGTTGAAATTAAGCTAAGTGAAGAATACTGATAATTAACAGCCTACAATGCTTAAGAAATATTCCCAATTTTCACAAATAGCTAATAAATTATATGTTCATGATTATTTCAAGATAACCCAATAGGGCCTTTCATTAAAAGGTCAATGTAAACATTGACACTGCCAGATTTATAAGCTCTTTTATAAGCTCTGAAACTAAGGAACATTGAAATGCAAGGGAAGATAGCATTAACCATCAAGAACATCTTCCCATTGTCACTCTTAAAACACTACTTTCTTAGATGTGCATCATGTAGGTTATCCCTCAATCTGTGGTCTCCTAGCAACAAAATGGAGAGGACAGTAAGAGGCTTTTGCAATTCAAAACTATCTTACTGCCAGACTCAGGCCAGTTTTAGATCATACCAGCAGTTCATTAACATTATAAATTAGAATTTGAAATTAACCACAAAATTCAATAGTTCATCTCTGACAATGAACTAAATGACAGTACAACTCTTTTGGTAGTAGTTTTATTGTAGGTACCATATCATACCCATCAGAAGAAGTAAGGTTCAATTTAATTCCACAAACTACAAAAACACCTTACTGTTTAACCAGTAGTTAAATAGAAAAACAACACCAGTGACAGCGGTTTCCTGCAATGTTTGCATCCCCTGTCAGCTCTCTACTTGGGGAGGGCGTCTGCGGGAGGCACTGCATGGAAGCAACATTGACACCTTGCCTACCAAGCAGACAAGGCATGGGACTTGAGTTTACACACACAAGAAATGCTTGACATTTTGTCATGAATATACATACATATTTTCATGTAATTTCATGAAAGCAACAAAAAAGCAAGAGCTATAGAGTAGTACTGAGAATACGGTATTGCCACAAAACCAGTGTGGATGGTGGATAAACACTGAGAGGAAGAGGCTTTACTCAGCAGTTAGGACATTGAGAATGTCTGTGATATGAAATATCTGCAATATGCCAAGCACCTTTTAATGGCTGCCACATCCTCAGAACCACCTGTCCCCTTTAAAGCACTAGCAGGTCAGCTCTTAAATACGTGAGTTCTGTATGTGTGTTTTGTTAATTTTGTGAGGAGTCTGACATAGAAATAGACTACGCCATGTTTTCAACAAAAGATTACACGTGGACCATTAGAAATGAAAATGAGGAAATTCTACAGCTGGGGGTGGGGAAGTAACACGTATTCCAGTCTAGAAAGGTAACGATAAGTACAAGTGATGCCACATGTAAGGTAGGAATGTAAGCATCTAAAATATAAAAATGATATAAAAACTTAGTCTTCCCATTGTTTACTCACAGAGAAACTAGGTCTAATTTTTAGCTTCAAATAATTACATAACATTATTAAAACTCACAGATCTCTAAGTATTCATCTTCCCCTAAGCTTTCCTGGAGCCAAATATTACTAGAAATAATACAGTCTGGCTAAAGGCTCTTTCAGATATTTTATTTTATTAAAAGACCAATGACCCAGTCCAAAAGGTCTTTGGCTCTGAAATCCTGGAAAAGTCACTTAATCTGTCTGGCCACTGCTTCCTTGATAAATAGAGTTGACAATTTTGATGAATATGCTAATTAATATTTCATAATCACCATCTCCAACATCCATGCTTCTAAATGTTTTACAAACATAAACTCACTGAGATCTCATAAATTATGAGATGTACTATTATTATCCTCATTTTATACCACAGGAAACTGAGGCACAGAGAGCTTAAGTAACTTGCTCTAGGTCCCAAAGCTAGGATAATACACTGACCTATTGTATCCATGTTAGACCTAGGATGCAATGACTTCTGTGCAAAGTGAGTGTAAATGGTCAAGATGAGAGTCTTCCTATATGTCCCGTCAATGACACAGGGTAGTAGCAATCAAAAGGGAGACGTTTCTTTAAAAACAAAAAGGCTTTTCAAAATCCTTTTAGGTTTACCGGCTGAAGGTTTGGCCTAGTTTCCTAAAAGCAACAATGAAACACTTCACGAAAAGGAGTGTTCCCCTGAGACAAGCATCAAGCCTGTCATGCTTTTTCCTCTGCGAGTTACAGACTCTCTCCTGGGGAAGCACTTTCTGACTTGAAATACATTGTGACATTAAGATCACCTCCTGGCATGAGGTGTTATGACATTAAATTGTATCTGAATGAATTTTAAACGTTTTGTGAATCAGAGAAAGTAGTCTGATGCCAGCATGGAGTATTAGGCGTCACTCCTTATGTATTCTCCTAAGTTTTAAGTGGAAACAAAAATTATAATTCATAGCTGTACCTTCAAGCTACACATCACATGAGAAATTTAGAAACCAGCTGTGACAAATGCCCTCTGACAGGTTCTGGAGGACAGGGACCCTTATCTTTATGTATCTTTGCAGTCCACGTTTCTGTGCACTGCATGAAACTTGCCCTTAAGCATTTCCTAAAGACGTATCAATAACGGTAAAGTATTAAAATTTATAGCCAAAAGAATGAAGTTGGCAAAACAAGCCAAGAGCCCATTACGTGTGTTTTCTAAACTAAGAGAAAAAAAACGTTTCCAATAAAAGAATGGTTAAATAAGTATCACTAGTCAGTCTCAGGAATAAAAATCTGCTCTCGATGACAGCGAAGAATCTTTCATTTTCAAAAGGAAAAAGCGAAACCAGCACACATGAAATTCTGCCTCTCTCATCATAAACAGCTGAATCATTCACATATTTAACAGCCCAGAATTCTTCCACAAGCTGTCACTGTAGGCTCTGGTTTCTGAGAGTCCGAATTCAAAACCCTCCCTGGGAGATCATGGAAGAACCACAGGAATTAACGGATTCCCGACAGACGCAGACTTAAACAGGAGCTGCGTTACCTTTAATCAGACCGGAGGCCCTGTCTACACGTTAATCTCTGGCGAAGGAAAAATACTACTGCGCTGAGAAAATGTATTTGTTTATCCAAAGAGTATTTACTAAATGTCTACTACGTGCAAGAGCCCTGGCGCGAGGCCAATGGGCACATGACCCCTCGCCCCCGCGAGGCCCCCAGCCCGAGGGGCGCCCCCAGAAGCCTGTGCCAGGCGCGGGGGCGGGGTCCCCCGCACGCGCCCCGCCGGCGCCACCCTGGCGCGCCTCACCCCCACAGGGGTCTTCCCAGCGATGCGGGCTCAAATGTGGCGAAAGGAACAAATTCAACTCGCCCGGGCGGCGGGGGCCCTAAGCAAACCCTAGACTGCCGCGCCCGCGGGCGGGGCTCGGGGCGCCGCTGACCGGCGAGGCTGTGGGACCCCCGCACCAACGAGGGGCCAGCGCCAGGCCCGACGGGCTGGGGGCCCTAGGGGTCTCTGAAGGGCGCGAGGGGCTGAGAGACCCTGAGAGGCTGTGGAGATCCCAGGGGGGCGTGCTGGGGGCTCTAGAGAGCGCGCGAGGGACGCTGGGGCGTTCCGGGGAATCCAGGGGGCGCTGGGGGCCCTAGGGAATCTCTGGAAGTCCCGTGGGGGCTGAGGGATCCTGGGAGGTTGTGGGGTTTTCAGGGAGAGCTGGGGGATCTGAGGGGGAGTCCCTGGAGGGCGGGTGGGGGCTGAGGAACCCTGGTAGATTGTGGAGCTTCCAGCGGGGCGCTGGGGGCTCTGGAGGTCGGGTGGGGACTGAGCGACCCTGGGAGGTTGTGGGGTTTCCGGGGCCCTGGAGCCCGGGGGAGTCTCTGGAGTGCCGGTGGGGGCTGAGGGACCTTGGAGGATGTGGGGTTTCCGGGGGGCGCTGAGGAACCTTGGGAGGATATGGTGTTTCCAGAGGGGCGCTGGGGGTCCTGGAGGGGGCGTCTCTGGAGGGCAGGTGGGAACTGAGGGACCCTGGGAAGTTGGGAGGTTTCCAGGGGGGATCTGGGGGGTTGGTCTCTGGAGGGCAGGTGGGGGCTGAGGGCCCCTATGTGTGTTCTGCGGGATGCAGGGGATCCGTGGGAGACTGGGGGTACAGCTGGCGGGGAAGGGGGCCGGGTACGGAGACCCACTAGGACACGCATGGTCTGGCTCTCACCCAAACAGCCCTCGGAGGAAGGAGTGGGAGGCCTTGACTCGCTTCTCGGCCTCCGCCATCAGCTGCACCGCCTCACGCTCCTTCCCGGCGTTGTCCATGTTGTCCGCCGCGGCCGCCGCAGCTCCTCAGCCGGCTAGCTGCGCGCCCCGGGCGCCCCCGCCCTCCCTGCTCGGCCGCGGTGCGCAGGCGCGGCGCGCGGCCCGTCGGGACCTGTAGTACGGGCGCGCCCGGCGGCTGGAGGCCCGAGCGTGCACCGCGGTTCCCGGAAGGCCTCGGAGCTCCCGGCCGCCGGCTTCCCGGGCTTCGGCGCACCGAGCGGGACCTCTGGGAGGGCCCTGGGCAGAGGTGCGCTTTAATCTTTCAAGTATGCGGAAATGGAAGATGACCCGTGGCTTCCAGTAAAGATCACCTAAAATACGAAGCATCCGGAATCCCTGCTCGATACGACTGACGTGGCCATGGGATGGATGAAGGAACAGCGGTAACGTTGGATGAAACGCTCAACCACATGCAAGTTCTGCAAAAGGGAATCTAATGCAGCCGCCGGAATCAATGGCATCACATGGTTGATACCACCCACTAAAAAAGGAGCAACAGCTGGCAAAGGAGCCATTTTTTTAATCTCCAAAAGCAAGACGTTTAAGAGTGTATCATCTTCCCCAATATAAATTCAGTTATTTTTAAACCTCCCTAAACTGCAACTTTCTGTTGATCCTCTTTTCCTTGGTTATAAATGAGTAGCGTATATGTAATATATGCATAATCCATGCTCTTTATTGACTGAATTATGTTCAGTGGATGTGAGCCATTGAGCACGCTTATCCTTTACATAATGCTGGCCATAGCGGGTGGATCTTCTGGGGCAAAATTCCTGCCTGCCAGGAAGACATCCAGTCTCCTAGGAGAATTATCCATAGATAGACAGAATCCTGTGCCAGCAACTTCCAGGCCTGTTCCAGAGAGAGTTATTTTTGAATAGAGTGTCTAGACCATTTTGGCTTGGCAGTGCTAACATAAAAACCATTGCCAAATGAGAATTTAGGAGGATCTCAAACTATTGATAAATGCACTATGGACACTGGCATGCAAAATTATCTAAGAAAATGAAGGCTGTCTTTACGGAGCAAAGTAAGAGGGATCAAACTCCTGGAAATAAGGGTTACTAAAGCATAAGTCACAGAGTTCATACATTGCAGGACACTGTAGAGATAGAGGGAAATCTCAGCTCTTCTTGCAGAGTTTATTTACGATACTACTGCTAACTTAAAAAACATGAGATCTATATATTTGGAGAGGAGATTTTATTTCTTCTAACAATTTACAGCAGGCAAGGTGGCCATTCTGACAGGCTGGGAAGTCTAGCCTCCAGCAGAGCCCAGAAGCAGGCACTTCTAGGAAGGGAGGGGAAGACAGGAGTTTAAACTGAAAGGTTTGGCCAAGTGCACATATTCAATAGGTTACAGGAGGAGCTATGAATATTCATGAAGGTGGTCCTAACATATGCATATAGAATAAACATGCATCCCATGTTCACCTAGGGGTGGAGACTTAACATTTAAATGTGTTATAATGTTATAAGGTCCTATATGTCAAAAGGTCTTTTCAGGACACAAAGGCACTCAAGTATGTATCCTTTGTAAACCGACCAGAACCAGTCCATGGTCTGTGGTCTTCTTACTGAAATCCGTCTCTTATCCAACCAAAACTGTAGTTATGGCTTATGGAACAGGGGGTGGGGTCAGCATCTGGCAGTGGATAAGCTGGAATCATTTTAATATATCTTGAGGCATGTTTAGCTGTTAGAGGAAATGAAAAACCTTGTGGCAGTTAGAACCTACTTTATTCTTTAAGCGTAGGGATGTGTGATTTAACCTTTGCCCGACATACCTTGGGTCCTGTTTATAATTTGGTATCTTACTGTCACAAAGTCCATTCTGTCAGTCTTATGATTGCTATTTTAATGTTAATGCTGGTCAGTTGTGTCTAAATTGCAAAAATGAGGGAATTATAATTGGGCGTGTCCAACATCCTATCCTGTCATGCCTGGGAGCTCAGTTTTAAGATATTTCGGGGGTCCCCTTGGCCAAGAAGGGGTCCGTTCAGTAGGTTGAATGGCTTAGAATTTTATTTTCAGTTTACACTACATGCATTATTTTAACTTTGAAAAGCTGATTTGTTTATTTTGGGGGGAAGAAGGAGACAGGAAATTCGAGGTGACAGTAAATGCAGCAGAGGAGAGAGAAAAACTGCAAAGACATAAGCATTTGAAAAGTAGAGCAGTCTATGGGGATTTAATGGAGAGGGACCAACTCAAAAGCTTCTAAGTTCATTAGTGTGTTGATTAAAGCAGTTCTCAAACCTGGCTCAATGCAGAAGCTCTAAGGGATGTTCAGGAAATACTGATTCCTATGCCACTAGCTTTTGGTATTTAGACCCCAACTCCAGGAGTTGGGGTTTAGAAAGTGTACATTCTTGAAAGAACGCTTTACCCCTATTTTAAAGCACAGAGTTCTAGATTCTCAAATCTGTAATTAGCTGAAAAGGAACTGGAATGGACTGCCTCCTCTATACTGGAACTTTCAACTAAGAGTGGCAGGGATATATCTTGATACTTTTGGTAGTTTCTGGTGATTTCTCTCATTCTCTTCTTCCTCACAGTCCTGCTCTTCCCCCAGTCAACACCAAAGTGGGAGAAAACTTCAAACCTTAATTTCTGGAGCTAATGTTTCTTCTCCCAGAGGCTAGGGGAGGGGTGGGGGCAGGGTAGAGAGACCAACCTCCCAGAATAAGGTCTGAGAAGAGGGACAGATGAGGAATCCCTGAAGCAAGAGGGAAAAGAAAAGGAGAATCATCCCTGGTGCGGACCAGAGAAGGGGTGGAAGGACCTCGAGTAGGAGCTGTCCTGGAAAAGAGCCAAAGAACCCATTGCCTACAGCCGTGCTGTCTAGGATAGGGCCATTTGCCACCTGTGGCCATTTAAATTTAAATTAAACAATATTAAATAAAATGTAAAATTCCATTTGTCAGCCACAGTAGCCAATTTTCTTTCTTTCTTTCTTTCTTTCTTTCTCTTTTTCTTCCTTTCTTCCTTCCTTCCTTCCTCTTTCTTTCTTTCTTTCTCTCTCTCTTTCTTTCCTTCCTTCCTCCCTCCCTCCTTCTCTTCCTTCCTTTCTTTCTTTCTTTTTCTTTCTTTTTAAAAATCACTTCTCACCCGAAAAAGTAGCCACATTTCAAGCACTCAACAGCCACATGTAGCTAGTGGCCACTAAAAGAGTTAAAAATATCACCTGGCATATTGACTATTTAAGTTAGACACTTGAAAAACAGTAAGTCAAGAAGATCCCTTTGACCTTCCTTTTTTTTTTTTTAAACGTACAGCGTACACACTAGATGCTTTGACCTTCTTGTTGCTTAAAAGCAAGAGATGAAATTCCTATGAGAAAAATGTCCTCCCTATACTGGAAAAAAAGCAATATTTTGACTATGGAAAACCAAAGTGCCAAAATATTTAAAGGGATTTATTCTGAGCCAATATAAGTTACTGCAGCCTGAGGAAACACAGTTTCAGGGGGTCCTGAGAAAGTGCACCAAGGTGGTCAGGTTATGGTTTGGTTTTATACATTTCAGGGAGATGGGAAATGCAGGTAAAATCATAAATCAATACATAGGAGGTATACATTGGTTTGGCCCAAAAAGGTGGGACATCTCAAAGTGGGGGCTCACAATTTATAGGTGGGTTTAGGGATTCTTTAGTTGGCAATTGGTTGAAAGAGTTAAGCTTTGTTTAAAAACTTGAGGTCAGTAGAAAGGAATGCTTAAGTTAAGGGGGTCTGTTATCATTCAAGTAATGCCATGCCAGAGTCAGATTGGAAAGCAAGCTACAATATAGTGGGTGAGAAGATCTATTTAACAAGATCTTGTATGGCTTGTAAGGCAGGACTTTCCTCAGGTTCCTTAGAAAGGAATTTGAGCAAGGAAAAAAAGTCAAGAGTTCAGTCCTCAATTCTTATCATCAAAGAAAGGAAGTTAAGGCCAATAGAATTCTGTACAAACAAACCCTGTTAATCTAACCCTTATCTTCCTAGACACTTCTATACCCAATTAACTACCATAGCCCAAGCCTCTTTGCCTTATCACATTTTCACAGTTTCTTATTCTTTGTTCAATTCAATATATAAGTAGTAGACTCTAATTGCTCCTTTGGGCTTTTCTTTCATTGTGAGGGCTCCCAAGCCATGTCGAACTAATATTAAATGCATATGTATTGTTTTCTCCTGTTAATCTGTCTTATGTCAATTTAAATCTTGGACTCAGACAGGACCCAATGAGGATGGAGGTGGAGTCTTGCCTCCCTACACTACCATGTCGGACTGCACAGATAGAGAACATTTTTATTATTGCACAGTCCCAGTGGATGGCACTGGCCTGAGCGCATCTTGCCTTTCAGCAGCTCTGGACGTGTGTAAGAACAAAGGAAAAAGGCTTCAGGCAATTTTTGAGAAGATGGAGCAGGAAAGGAGGAGCCTGTACCCTGAACAAGGCAGAACCAACAGAACCTGCTGGCCTCTCCCTGTGAGCAGATGGACACGACACTCAGACTTCCACACACAGGAAACTGGACTGGAGTGTCTAGTGTCCATCCACTTCCCCCAAGAAATGGCCCACCAAGGCAGGATTGAAGCCATTTGAGAACACCAGCTCCAAGACAGACAGGGTCAGAAAAGGACTCATATGGAGAAAAGGTGAGGTTATCTGTACGTGTTCATAGAAGGGGAGAGTGCACCAGGCAAAGATCTATATCGAAAGTTATGGGACATCTCTTCTGCTTCACTGAAGCAAATTGAGAAGCCTTGTGCACATTGAAGGGAAGGGGAATTAGATGCCATCTCTTGATGGGGAGGGTCTGCAAGGATTTGCAGACATTTTAAAACCACCCCATTTAGGTTAGGTAGTCAGTCCTCACCTTGGTGCGCTCTGGTTGCATTGACAAAGTTACAAAGCTGGAGTCCCCTGGCCGAGAAGCAGCCCTCACCTCACATGGCCCTGCTGCCCTGAGGGGCCCTGCCCACGTCTTCAGCTGCCTCCCCCAATGACAGCTCAGCCTTGGTCCTACCTGCAATGGTACAAGTGGCTCTGAGTGAGAGCTGAGTGTGCCCTGCTTCAGTAG